TTTCACCTCCAAGTAAAACATGCCAACCTCCATATGCTGTTATGAGTATAGGAAAACAATATCAGGTCAGTATTTATCGACAATGCTACATACAGTGTCATTACAATTGGAAATGTTATTTTGAAAAACAACTTACCAGTGTATCCAGCCACTCTTGATCCATGAAGAGATCATAAAGCCATGTTTTGCTGCTGATTATGAACTTATCCAGTACGATAGGCTTCTTTGTCATGTTTTCTTCTCCTTTTGTATAAATCTTTCTGACTCCTGTTCTGGCCTTCCTCTTCAACACTCCACATTCAAGGAATGTCTTAAGTTTATCAATATCTTCTTGTGGGGGCATTTCCTTAGGGTTCAGGCTGAATGGTCCAATCATGACTTCCATTTGACTCAGAGTTACTTCAAGGAATGTCTTAAGTTTATCAATATCTTCTGTGTCTTCTTTTGCACCTTTCGCCCTGAAAGTGCGAGCTTTTGGGGCTCTTTAGTTTGCCTCTTACTCTTACGTGTCTGCACACAAGGGGCTTCATTTTCAGCAATTCCATTGTATTCCTGCAAATTTGCAACATTAAGTTTCTATTTATGGCACGAGGTCCTTTTTTATCCATTATAGCTTTCAATAAAATTCACTCACACTTATTGGTTGTGCATCAATTATCGTATCCATTTTCACATGCTCAACAAGCTCTTTAGTTGCAACATCCACGTCCATACATTTCCCTTTTATATCCATTCCCTCTTCAGGCAACTGCAAAACAATATAAACAGTTCACTACAAGAAAAATTGGATATAAGGAGACTAATTTAGGACACATTATTTTGCAAGTGTCATTAAAGGATTTTTATGACATTGTTGTGTTTTACGGAGTAATTTTAAGATTCAAAGTCCACAAGCCCATTTTGACGAGACTTATCTGATGCCAGCTACTCCGTATTATTCACGCATCAAAATAGATAAAAAACGAGACCCTCATTTTTTATTCATTCATTCTTTGACAAAACAGTTATCGAGAGACAGAAGTTGCTAAGAGGGAGAGTCGACACAGGGGCTAGGGTTCCGAACCCGTTCTCTCAGCCCTATTTTTGTTGGATGAGCAACGACATACGTCAACGAGCATAGACGAAGAGAGCGATGATGAAGAGTTACAATCTGGAGCAACCTTCAGCTACGAGTACAACCTAACAACGATTTAGCAGCGGCACACTTCAGAGTCCGAACAATCTAGCATTATTTGTTGGTATAATCTTCATATCCAAGTTGTTCTTTATTTTCTTCTTCCTTGTTTATGTGAGATTTCGTGTTTATTGATTATTTTAGTACAATTTCTTATATTTTAGTGCTTGAACAGATCTGAAATTGGCCTTTGATTGTATTGAATGGTTGATTTGATTCTGCTCGAAATCCCATATTTTGTGTGCTTTTTGTGTTGTTATGTTCAATCAAAACAGTTTTACTTATGTATTATTTTGCAAAATGAAAAGGTCTCAATTTTTCGACACAGGAAAGCTCCATCATTTCTTAGCAATAACAAGGTTTGATCTTGGAGGAGTACTTTACTCAATGATCTTTCACACAGGAAAGCTCCATCATTTCATAGCCTTTTGTTTGTTGAATTTGTAAATTGGATAGTGAATTGTTTGAGTTTTGTATTTTGTTTGAAAATATTTTTGTATTCATGTAAGGATTGAGTCTGCTTATAACGTGATTCCTTTTCAAATTGGTTTATGCATCAAGTATTTTTCAAATTTAATTTATTCATTGGTATATAGCTCGTATCAGTTGTATTATGACTTTGTTCCGAGAAGTTTATACTCAAAATCATGTTCAAACCTGGTTGCTCTTTTCAAATTGATTAATATTCTGTCTGTTTTGTTTTACTCTTTTTTAATTAGTAACTTGAAGTTAATTAGAAACTTTTGAAGTGTTTCTGACTGTGTCTATTACTTCTATTTTAATGGTTTAATTTACATTGTTTACACTTTACAGTGAGATGAGGCTTAAAACATCCACAATAGAATTTTCTCAAGTTTGCAGCTTGCTTTGACGCTATTCGCACCAGCTTCCCTGGGTGATATCTTTTACTTAGAGCTACTTTTCTAATTCAAGGCTGAAACATATCAAGGTAGTGATGCCCATGTTTTTTTGTTCATCTCATGGTCTCACTTCTAGGCAGAGATTTATATATATGCTTGATCAAACTTTGTTTCATCTTGGTGTAGGATAAAATTCTACAACTTTCAAAAAAAACTCAAAAGCCTTAGTTCTATTTTTTTAAAGTCAATGTTGTGGTCGTCTTCTACAGTCTTATGGGTTATCTAGCTAGTACTCTAGCCTAATTTTATCTTTTTAATTTCCTACCTGATATTATCTTTTGCTGATTTCTATTTTACTTCAGATTTCAGTCTAGAATGTGTTGCCTCAACGTAATCTTCAGTCTTGAGTATGACCCATCAACAACAATGTGGGCAAAGATGTAGAGTAGCCAGATTTGCTTTGCCCAGCGCCCCAGCTACATCGGAGAACTGTATGTTCAATTTCCTCTTTAACAGTCTTGCAGAATTAACACTGAGTCACTATTTGTAAGCCAGTATTCCTTAGATTCTTAAAGAAAGATAGTATCTCATTGTTTATTTTCCAAAAAAATATTTGAATTCTAGGGATATGCAGATTGTTCCCATTGTATTTGTTACTCAATTGGATTTTGTGATTGTTTTAATTGTATTTGCTATGCAGATTGTTCCAATTGTATTTGTTACTCAATTGGAATTTGTGATTGTTTTAATTGTATTCGCTATGCATGTTGTTCCATTTTGTTCCAGTTATATATGTTACTCAATTGGATTTTGTGATGTGGGTTATCTGTTACGAATGGGAGTCAATATCCATGTTGTTCTTGCCATTTTTATTTTTAGGAATGCTTGTGTTTGTTAAAGTTTTTGCTCATGAGTTTAACTAGTGGTCGTGTATTCTTCATATTAACATAACCTGGTTATTTCTCTTTATGTTTTTTAGGTAAAAAAAAGTTACACACTCAAGTCGATGCTGATTGATGAAGTTCAAGTCGAGTGGGACGAGGCGGTTGATTAATATCCAAGCACATGAAGGAGCCTAATTAGCATACATCTAGCAAATTAATTTCTATCATCCTTTTGCATTTAAAGCAAAATGTATGAAGTCTACTTTGTAAAATTGTAAAAGTGTAACAATTCAATATTAAATTATATTGCTAATGTATTATGTGCTACTTAGGCGATGATTTGAGGAATAATATCATATTGGTTACGACTTAATATGTGTTCTTATAGTGAAAGAGAACACGAATTTGAGAGTATAAATGTGTCATCTTATTCATTTCAGACTATTCTCAGCGCACTTTTAGAACACACAAATAGTGTCCTAATATAAAAAAGAGGACACATATTGGATAATATGGTGACACATTTTAGGTGTGTTCTTATTGATATAAGGATACTTTTTGAACAGATTTTGGTGTGTTCTTATTGATATAAGGATACTTTTTGAACAAATTTCCTGTAAGGCAAAGACAAACCCTCCAAACGTCACTCTTCCCCTTCCACGAGCTTTAAGGGATTGTGCGCATCTCCCAGCATGTGCTAACAACTCTTCCCATATGACTTCACCCCATGGGAATTTATTGAATGCATCCAAATCATCTACTAGGTTAATGTATCCAATAGGAAAACTAACACATGAATGGTGCCCAAACATAACATTGCCCAACAAATGCAGCAATGCTAACTTTACAACATCATCAGTTTCTACTCCGGGGTCATCTCGGTTGTGATGCAGTAGTGCATCCGTAATATGACATCGCTGAACAGATTTCCCCGTATTGAAATACCTTAACCCGAAGTCACCCAACCTTTCATCATTCAAAGTTTACCTATTCCCTCCGCTTCCCAATCCTGTGATAAGTTCAAATTCTGGCTTTGTAAACAAGACTTTTCTCCCCTTTATTTTGAACTTCATTTCTTTACATCCAGTTATTCCTTGCTTTGGTAACTTGTATCTTTCTAACAGACCAACTAAGAGCCCATTACTAATCCATCTAACTTCAGGAACATCCAACAGTTTTCCAAAAACCGTGCCTCTAAAGACTTCAAGCTCCTCCTTTCTCAACATGCCTTTAATTCTGCATACGGTCTCAAGCACATTACAATAAGTGTAAATTCCTCTATCTTTAGGCTGTGCTCTATCACCTTTCTTCACAAATTTACGTGATACATGTATATTAAAAGGTTGTTTAAAACAAAAATAAGTCACAATGATATCACTGACAACAAGACCATAGGTCTACTCGAAAAATGCAGTTCAACAACAAAACTAGGTCACAATGCAATCACTGACAACAAGACCATAGGTCTACTGGAAAAACGCAGTTCAACAACAAAACTAGGTCACAATGCAATCATTGAAAACATGACCATAGGGTTACTGGAAAAACTCAATTGAACAATGAAAATAAGTCAAAATGCAATCCCTCACAACATGACCATGCATCTACTGGAAAAACTCAATTGAACAACGAAAATAAGTCACAATGCAATCCCTCACAACAAGACCATGCATAAACTGGAAAAACTCATTTGAACAACAAAACTAGGTCACAATGCAATCCCTCACAACAAGGTCATGCATGTACTGGAAAAACTCATTTGAACAACAAAAGTAGGTCACAATGCAATCGATCACAACAAGAACATGCGTCTACTGGAAAAACTCAATTGAACAACGAAAAATAAGTTACAATGCAATCGATCACAACAAGACCATGCGTCTACTGGAAAAACTCAATTGAACAATGAAACTAGGTCACAATGTAATCCCTCACAACATCACCATGCACAAACTTGAAAAACGCAATTGAAAAACAAAACTAGGTCGCAATGCAATCCCTCACAACAAGACCATGCATGTACTGGAAAAACTCAATTGAACAACAAAACTAGGTCATAATGCAATTGTCGCAAGTCGGAAACTAAAATTCAGTACCTTCGGTTGCTTCGCCATTTGCTTTGTCGCAGGTCCCTTATCTTCATCAGCAATTTCATCCGATCGAGTGTCCTCTTCGTCCGTCATCTTCTCCGATTAAGATACAATGTGAAGTAGGTGAATTGGGAAGCAATTGAATTGTGAAGAAGAGGAAATGTGAATTTATTTGGTTTTTCTATTTGGCGCTCTGATCGAAGAACTAATGATGGCTAACGGGTAATTCGATTGGTTTTGACAGCTACTGGTAACGGAGATAGGTTATGATGGCTAACGGCGGCTCCTATTTGGGAAATTTAATCTTCTCACTCCTATTTTGGGCTTTTATCATTGTTTTACTTCTATTGGGCTCCTTCTCCCTAAATTAAAGCCTTTGACAAGTAATATTTATATATTCTATCATTTAAAAAAACATCGTCCGCCCTAAACTTTTGTGAACATGATAAAAGCCTTTAAAACCACCTAAAATATACTACATCCTTTCCAATTTAATTCACCTATTTGAATTCATAATTAAGAAAACATTTTTTTGTATAACGTATTTCAGAATGAGAGTTGAATAAAAAACAAAATTCACATAATACAAAACTTCCTCAAAATTTTCAAAAATCAAAAAATGACATTACTATTTTATTTTATCGAATGAGTAACAAAACTAGTGAAACAAATGAATAAGTTTGACCCAGTAAATAGTAAACAAGCAACTTCATTAGGGATGGAGTAAGCATAAAAATCTCCATGTACATTTAATATTTTAAATATTAAACAATCATATTTTTTATTGAAACAGAGGTGTTGAAATTTTCAACACCTCTGTTTCAATAAAAAATATGATTGTTTAATATTTAAAATATTAAATGTACATGGAATTAAAATCGCTTACATTTTTTTCAATCCCAAAATTCATGCGTCAATGTAAAATATAAGGAAAAACACTACACGTTTTCATGATAATATATTATTTTATCAATTTTATATTTTCTTTCTTTTTCGTTTATAAAGAAATCATTTATTAGGGGAGATGCTAATACACTTTTTCCATCTTTTTCATTGTCTTTTCTCTCTTCTCATTAAAAAAGGAGTTACATTTAATAATATTAATTAGGAGTAAATAATTTAAACAAAAAAAATTAAGAACATACAATCAATTTACAGACCAACAGTAATTTAAGTAAGTTCAGAGCTTTTTCGTATTTTTCAAATGCCAATTCTAAGCTTTACTGCACATATAAGAGAATAACCAACTGTAATATATATAACAGACGTAGAAAAAATATGAAATAATACGCCTTTTGGTTCAAAACAAATTGTCACAGTTTAATGTTTCTAGACAAATATACGATTTTTAACACAAAATTAAAAATACTTATATATAATTAAATGTTGTTAATGTTTGATTTATAAAAAATTAATTCTAAAACCAAACCAAACCAAATTTACATTATAACTAAATCTACTTTTTCCATAAATTAAGAATAAAATATTGTGCAAGTTAATGAAAAAGATGCACAGTGATTATATTTTTAGATAGATTTGTTCTTTAGCCTATCTTGTTTTGAAACTCTTATTTTCATATAAAATTATTCTGAAAAATCAAAGAAATAAATACTAAGATATTAAAAAAGGTAAATTTTATAACAAAAAAAGAGGAATTTTTTTGGCAGAACTACCTTGATAAACAGTACTTTTAATTACGAAACCCATAAAAAAAATATTTTTTTAAAATATGTGGAAGGGTTGTTCTGCCCTGTTGTTTTATGATGCTGAAGACATTGCATGGTTCTTTTGTTAAACTTATCTGTTGGGATGTACTATTAAACCAAAATTGGGTTTATCAGCTAAAAATTATGGTAGAGCCGTTTATGAATGTCTTCGTGGTGGACTTGATTTTACCAAGGATGATGAGAATGTAAACTCACAGCCCTTTATGCGTTGGAGAGACCGTTTCCTATTTTGTGCTGAAGCAATTTATAAATCCCAAGCTGAAACCGGTGAAATAAAAGGACATTATTTAAATGCTACTGCAGGGACATGTGAAGAAATGCTAAGACGAGCTTGTTTTGCTAAAGAATTGGGAGTTCCAATTATAATGCATGACTATTTAACAGTCTGTGAAGAGATGGTTTTATTCTCTATGCTCTCTATGAAGCTCTGGTTGTGACCTATTTTGATTCTGATTTTATCTGCATGCCTTGTGAAGCAACAACAGCACACGAGCCTACCCTCTCTCATGGGTACTTGGCTCTTTCTAGGGTGACTGATGTAGGTACAGCTCTTTAGTGTTTTCTTTCCTATATTCTTAATGTACCTATTCTTGACCGTATTGAATATTACTCTGCTCTTTTTCCCCCAACTTTGGTGACTTTCAATAAAATATCTTTGGCATTTTTTCTGCAAAAAAGGGGAGAAGAAGAGGTTCAAAAACGGCTGAATAGTGGTTTTTGTCAAAAAATTGCCAAAGGGGGAGATTGTTAGCTCCGACTAGTTAATGATGATAGTGTTTTATGTTGGCATTATTTTTTGACAAAACCCTTCTGTAGAAAATGGTAGTGTGTCTGTGTTAGATAAGAGCTGTAGCATCCTATCAGTCATGATAAAGAGTCTCTATATGATATGGACTCTGACTATATGAAGACTTATATCTCAAAAGGAGTTCGTGAGGTGTCTAGGCAACATCAGATGCATTAATTATCTCCTAAGCGCATGCTTAACATGAGATGTATTTATAGGAAGAAGACATGGCGTACTAGGTCTGTCTCGTACTCAAGCTTATCACCGTAAGAGTTCTATATCATCTCTACTAGGGTTATGGACACACCCTATAAAGAGAGTCAGCCGTAGAGAAAAGATGTACGCAGAATTATACTCAGAATATCAAAGGAGAGGACGTGAGATCACAACGATTCTGATAAGAACAAAACTGTGAAAGATTTGCATGAGAAGATCAGTCATGGATCTTCTCTAGATATTGTTCAGCTGTTGCAACCTGGTTAGCTGAGCAAGGGTCAGAAACACATCCTTCGTGCAGAGCAAGAAGAAGGTGTAATAGGCCTGGTGAGGACACAAACCGAGTTTGCTGTCAGATCTCGTAAGTAGACAAGTCAGATTCATTAGAAGGTTCTATTGAAGTTTGATAGTGTAATTCTTACGTTGATCTAGTGGAAAGGCTATTACACGGATGTGGGCCTCGCAGACGTAGGAGATACTGCTCCGAACTGCGTAAACAAATCTTTGTGTCTTGGTGTTTTTAAATTTTCTGCCTGTGTGTGTTAGTGTTGAAAAAAGCGTTGTAGCATCCTGCGTATTCTAAAGCTGCAACACTTCTTTCAACAGCAGTTTTTGTTTGCATCTGTTTGCTGTTGTGATTTATTTCTTGCGAGTGCTGGAATTTCAATTGGTATCAGAGCTTGTTGAGCTTAAGTTATTAGCTTTCAACGATCACAAATTATGGGAGACATGGAGGAAGGAGCCAGTAGTTCAAGGCCACCCCTGCTGCGTGGTCACAACTACAACTTCTGGAAAGGGCGTATGAGGGCATTCCTGAAATCACAAGGAGGAGGAGTCTGGAGAACTGTGGAAACTGGCTGGACAGAACCAGTAAAATACTCAGATGATCTGTCTACAACAACTGTAAAAAAATTTGAAGACTATAGCAGAACTGAAGTCCTTGCTGCTGAGCATAATGACAAAGCCCTAAATGCTATTTTTGGTGCAGTTGATGCCACACAATACCGCCTCATTTCAAACTGTATTAGTGCAAAGGAAGCATGGGATATTCTTGAAGTCACACATGAAGGTGATGAGAAGGTCAAAACTGCAAAGTATCAGATTCTCATGACACAATATGAAAATCTGCGAATGGATGAAAAAGAAACTATTGTAGAATTCCATGGAAGAGTCCATGACCTTGCAAATCAAGCAGCCAGATTACAAGAGCCGTTTCCAGAATCAAAACTTGTTCTAAAGGTGCTGAGATCTCTACTAGAAAGGTTTGATATGGATGTCAAGGCAATCTCTCAATCACATGATGCAAAAAAGATGACTCTTGATGCTTTAATGGGTAATCTTGAAACAATCGAATTAAACATGAAGGAGGATAGCAAGAGACGAAAACCAGAGAAGCAAATCGCCTTTCTAGGAACTGATCTGGAGAATGATAGTGAAGATGTTTTAGCATTTGATGAAGAATTCCAAGAACAGCTGTCCCTATTCACAAAGCAGTTCAAAAAGAAGTGGATTCAAAAGAAGGGAAAGAACCAAATTCAAGAAGGACCTTCTAAGACATCCACTTTCAGGGAATCACGCTTCAAAGAAGGAAAGTCGTATGATAACAGCTCCAAGTACAAAGGGCCGCTGTGTTTTGAATGTGGTGGTCATGGGCATATCCAGACTGAATGTGCAAACAACCTTAAAAAGAAGAGACAAGCATTCTCAATAACCTGGAGTGATGAGGATACTGACGAAGATCAAGGTTGTGAGGAAAGCAATTGCGCCTTTATCTCACAGTCAGAGTCAGACGACCTAGTTGAGCAACACATGGATCTTCAAGAAAAGTGGACTGAACTGCTCATGGTTAACAGAAGAAATATAGCAGAAAAGAATCAGCTGGCTTGTGATCTAAAGGCTCTGAAGCAGAATCTAGAGAAAGCAGAAACAGATAATGCAAATCTGAAATTTGAACTACAAAAACTCAAGGACTACATTAAGTGGATGAAAATAGCTGGAGCTGAAGTACTGGATGCACAGGAGATAATGTTCAAAGCACCTGGAGATAGACAAGGAATTGGATGTGATAGCCACCCCAAAACAAGTGATCTACTCAAGGAAGACAATGTGAAGATAAACAAGAACATGAGAAACAGTTATCACCCAGCAGTAAAACCAATCAGGAGCCACAATATCAAACATCATAGAAGAAACTCAGTGACTTATCAAAACTACAGATGTTACTACTGCAGAAGATGGGGGCATATCAAGAGGGTATGCCAGAGGCTCAAAAATAAAAGAACAAGAACTCAGAAGATCAAGCAGATTTGGGTTCCAAAGGAAAGGGTCATGGTAGCAAATTCATGCCTCAGAGTCACTCTTGATCAGTGGCTACTGGACAGTGGATGTTCTCATCATATGACTGGTGTCAGACAGAATCTTACTAATATCAACTCAGTTGAGGGAGGAAATGTTAGATTTGGTCGTGGAGCACAAGGCAAAATTGTTGGGTGTGGAATACTAAATGTTTCAAGACTTCCACCGATCAAGAATGTGTGGCTTGTACAAGGACTTCAGGTGAACCTACTCAGTATCAGCCAGATATGTGACCAAGGGCTGGAGGTCACATTTACCCAGCAAAAGTGTCGTGTGAAAGACAAAAACAAAGTGGTGGTACTAGAAGGTGACAGAACAACTGACAACTGCTACAAAGTCACTCCAAATGTTCTGTGCTTTTCTGCTAGCCAACAGGATGCAAGGCTATGGCACTACAGACTTGGTCATCTAAATTTTAAAGATCTCACAACCCTCTCAAACTCTGATGCAGTTCGAGGATTGCCTAAGATAAAGAGACTGGAAGGTGAAGTATGTGGTCCATGCCAGAAAGGGAAACAAACACGAGCAAGCCATCCTAAAAAGATATATCAATCTACCACAAGACCATTGGAGTTGATACACATTGATCTCTTTGGACCAATGAAAACTGAAAGCATCGGAGGGAAGAGGTTTGTGCTTATAGTGGTGGATGACTACACAAGGTATTCCTGGGTAAGTTTCCTGAGACACAAAGATGATGCACTAGAGGCCTTTGTCATATTGTGCAACAAAGTGCAGAATGAGAAACAACTCAAGATCAAAAAGGTCATTCGTGTAAGGAGTGATCATGGGGGGGGGGGGAATTTGAA